TGAATCCACCATATCTCAATCCAAGCCAGAGCAGCCGTCAAAAGTATGCCCTCCAAAGTCCATGAGCAGGAAGCAGGGGCTGTTTGAAGGACTTCTGTAGGACAGAGAAGCCACTGGGATAGAGGCAGGATCTGAGGTGGGCGGGTTGGAAGTAGGGGATAACATATGGCCATCCTCCCCCCTGACACCTCTACTACCATCGCATGGAGAGGATTCCCAGTGTGTGTCGAGAGGGAATTCACACCAGTGAGCCCTGAGGAGAGTGCTGGCTTCCTAAGGAAATAAAACACTGACCAGAAAGAAATGTACCCTCTTCCTCAGGTCCACGTAGCTGCCTTTCTTGACACCTCCAGTGGCATTCCCTCTCCAACGATTCTGGCTTCCTCCCCCCAAGCTTCCATACATCACCCTTGGCTGATCTGTAGCTGACCCCCTCATTCTCTTCCGTTCACATCTTTAAGCAGCTATGGAGAGAGCCCAGACGCCAAGCTGGCCTGGACAAAGTTCTCTCCAGCAACACCAACCTCTTGGTGACTCATTCACTTGTGCCCACAGAATGCCCCAAGTGACCACCCCTCCCCTCTCTATTTACTCTACTGCCTTTAAGCACGTTGAGTCGCTGGACACCTGCCCCGTTGCTCTGTTCCCTTCACAGCCCGGCTTCTGCAAATATTGTCAGGATGAACTTCCTGAAAGCCAGAACACTCCTCATGTTCCTGGATCCTCACCAGCCTGTGCTCCCCAAGGCCCGTCATTAACAAGGTCCCTGAGAACCTTGGGGCTCATGAACAAGAAGGCATTTCTCCACACTGTCTTTGTTGGCTTGGTACTTGCTGCACATGTCAGCTTCACGGTGTCCTGAGGGGGAGGGAGACGACGTACAGAGGCAAGCAGTGATCTGTTTCTCAACCTTGCCTTCCAAGTCCACCTCTTAGACGTCACCAGTATTCTTCATTCTCTTCATCAAAAGGATCTTTCTGATTTTTCTTCTCTGTCCTTTACACCTTTCCCTTATATCAAAATCTGGACAAAGCCATTCATGATCAGAGATTCATCCACATCCACAGATCATCACTATATATATGTGTGTGTGAGGAATTGGCCGGCAATAGTCTCTAATTTCTGACCATGGATCAATAGAACTGACCAACCCCCATAATCACACTTCGGTATGCTTACGAGTCTTGGACCTGCTGGGATGACCAGAGCTCTAGCTTCTAGAGCGGTTTAGCTTGACTTAAAAGTCAATCAAACGCTAAATGGTCAAATGGGCTTATACCCCAGGGCTTAGAAAATAGCCAGTGACTCAATACCAAAGTAATGCTCTTGCCTTGAGAACTGCTACTGTAGGGTTGAGTGAGCTCCTTGAGAGCAAGGACTTGTGTTACCTTTGTGTTCTCAAGGATGTGGTACCCGACACAGAGAAGCGTCTCCCACTGACAGATGCCTTCCTTCCCAGGATCAGGATTTCACAAACAGATATAAGTGACAACGGAATTCTCGAACAACTATTTGAAATACACTAAAGTGAAGAATATCAAACAGAATTTGTATGAAGCAAAGGAGAAGAATTAGGGGAAGGGAGGGGAAAGAAGAGAAGAAATTACAGACAGTCTGTTCTTGTTATTCGAGGTAGTTTTGTTCTATCAAGCAAATATTGAACCATCCGCAAATATTGAACCATCCATCACTCCTAAGAGAATACGGGTTAGGTTCCTGAGAGCCTCTGGTCACAACGTTTTCACCAATCCATCAGTACCTAACTTTGCTTCATGTGTGTTATCTGTTTAAAGGCACCTCATTTAATACATATTGTTGATTCATTAACATTGAACTCACAGCCAACAGCACTATAGCCCACATCTGAACAAAGCTTGTCTAACACGTCTTTTCTCTGTAAGGCAACTTGTAGCTTTCCTGTGCTTAGGAACACTTGACAGAATTTCAGCACCAGGCTTGGGTGCCATCTTGAACAGTGAAATCACCATCAGGTACAAAAATGCAAAAAGGGTGGCACTAAATAGACCAAGAAAAAGACACTTGTTTACAGCGTGAGAGCTGAAGCAGAGGCAGGATGTCTTGCGTGGCCTCGGCTGGGAACGTGTGCATCGGGAGACTCGAATTTTTCTCCACTCTGCACGTGTCCACAAATGAGCACAGAAGTGCTGCAAGTATTGATTTGGGGATTACAAGTACATTTTAGCAGGTAGTCAAATTTGCAGATACAGACTCCACAAACAGTGAAGATCAACGGTGTGTGCATGCGTGTGTGTGTGTGTATTTATAAAACAAAATTCAAGCCAAACAACAGAGATGTTGGCTTTTCAGAAAGTGCAGCCTGGCTCAGTCATCAAGGCAGAGACAGTAAAGATATAAGGTAGACCGAGGACAGGGTAACAAGATAAAAGCAGCCTGCTGCCGGTAATGCCAGGCCTTGCAGGCGGGGGTTGTGGCCATCAGCCAGCAGCAGAACTCTGAGGCACCTCAGAGGAGCTAAGGCTGGGTTACGGTAGCATAATGTGCCCACGTGCAGCAAGCCACACTGTTGGTCCGTGGTGCCCTGGAGGTGCAAACCTGCCGTCCCTGTCCTTTTGGCATCTCCCACACCTGGCTCTGGACATGAGGGAGACTGTCCTCCCTCCACCCGGATGCCTAATGGGTCTGTCCCAAGGATTCACCGCCTAGTGGTGTGTCTGAGGGCAGCAAGCCCAGGTGCACAAGGGTCGGAGCTACTCTAGTGAGGAACTCCCACATGTCATAATCCAATAAGCAGCCACCTAAGAGTCCCATCTCTCAGAGCTGAACCCCAGTGGGTGGTGACCTGGAAAGAGAGGGGATTTGGGGTGGGGTCCATGAATCAACCAAACAGCCCTGAGAGCAGTTGGAGACGTTTGGGTTACAGATTGACGAGATATGACCTTTGTCTGGGTCTCCATGTCCCTAGCTCCTAGTCCAATGCTCGGATCACAGATGCTCATTAAAATCTGGGAGGCAGTATGTGAAAGAGAAAACGAAAGGAGGGTGGATGGCTGGAGAGACTTTTGTTTATTAGGGCAAGGTTCCACAAAGGACATCAGTATTGACCCATCAGGCTCAAATATGTATATATTTCTATTGTGCTTTGTTTCTCAGAACACCTTTGTATACGTTATTTCATTAATCCTCAGTTTATTCTATATACTAGAGGGGTCGGGGTAACTGAAACATAGAGAAGTCGAGAGATTTGAGCAAAGACAGACAATTAATTAATGGCACGGTTGCACTATAGCCCACACATTTCTGCCTGGTTTTAAGATGCGAAACAGGCCCTGATGCGAGCACCCAGACCCCTTCTCCATTTTCACTCTGAAGGCAGCTCCCCCATCCCCAGGCCCTGGCAGCAAAGGGTCCAGGTGGCACCTGGGACACAAGGCCTGGGCTCAGGAAGGCCCACCCTGCAGAAAGCACGGGCTTCAGGCCAGAGGAGCAAGAGACGTGGCAACAGGACCTGGAATCGGTGACGTTGCCGGTCTGGTTCCCGAGCTGAGTGGGCAACCAGTGCCAGGCCACACAGGCAGTTAGCACCCACAGAAACCCTGCCCGCAGCCCCGCGGTTGCTCAAGGCAGTGAAACTCCAGGCCTGCCAGCTCCCGAGACAGAGGGCAGGTGAGTCGGGAGCCTGTATATATAGAGCCCAGGGGTCCCCGAGCTGAAGGAGAGCACCACAGACATCCTGAGGCCTCTGATTCACTCTGCCCTCGATGCCCATTCAGGGAAATGGGAGTCCTTGTTCTGGACTTGATTAACTTTCCTCTCTCTGATGGCTTAAAGCCTTGCCCTTAGTTTTACTCACCTCCAACGAGACCATTATACAGAAGCTCTTTGTTGGTCACCTTCTTGCAGGCTTCTCTCTCCCCCTCTCTCTTTCTCTCTCTCCAAAATATGCCAAATGCTAATTTCTCATGGTTCACAATCCCATCCTGTAATTCATCACTTCCCTATCCCCCCCTCCCTGGTTCTGGATGGGAACAGCCTTTGTCTAGCCTTTCTAGTACTTTCCCATACTGTTTACACTGGTAATGCTGGCCTCACGTGAGAAGAGAGAAGGCATCTCATAGAGAAACTGGCCCTGACCAAACAGGAATGC